GTTTTTTGTGTGGCTCTTCCCTCCCTTCCTCCCATCCTTAAAAAGAAGGAGAAAAGCCAAAAGCAAGCGGATTTGTCATAACACCTCTTTGGAGCAGGGAACAACACGACTTAAATCCTTTCTTGCTTCTGAGCCAGTCCAAGGCTGGGACTCAGCTGACACAACCCCCTGACAGCTCTGGCAACCTTAGTATTGCAAAGGGAGATGGGGAAAAAACATCCACAATTCGATAAAGCTCCTGAATGTTTTCTCCCAAGCAATCCCAGAGCAGGATTTGCAGTAGGAGAAGGAGGTTCTTTTCTGGGAGTTTCTGCTGGGAAGCAGCTCATCCATTCGGAGCAGATAAATGTTCCTGCAAACACTGAGCTCCCCTGAAACAAGACACTGGAAATAAATCACTTCCACTGGCTCAAGGTATCGCAAATGCCAGGAGATATTTACGTCACTAAAAATACACAGAATTACAGATAAATCCGGACCCTCCAAGCAAAACCAGAATCCATCAGTGTTTTTCCCCCAGCTAAAGGAAAAGTAGCTCAGGTGCTGCAGGTGGAGCCAGGAAATACTGGCTAAGGAGGATATGGAGAATATTCCTCTGCATAGAAGAGAAATATTCCGTTCTCCAGGAAGGCGATGGGGCTTTGGAGAAACCGTGGAAGGTGTCCCTGTTCCTGGCAGGGCTGGAGCTGGGAGAGTTCTGCCACAGCGCTGGGGACAGCGCCGCTTCCCTGGCACTGTCACCTCCCACCCTGGGCCAAATGTCAAAGGAGTCTCAGCTAAACCGGTTGTTTATCCCCAACTCCAAACTGAGCCAAAAGGAACCGGGCAGATTCAATTCTCCAATCTTTGAGTGGCACCTACTCCATCCCATCCCAAAGAGGACTTGTGTGGCCCTGAGGGAAACGCTCAGTCAGGCTGGGCTGGGTCCTTGTGGCAGAAACACCCGGGAATATTAAAAAGCAAAATCTCTCTAGAAACAAGAGCTCTGTGCACAGGCCCATGCTCTCAGTGTGGCCCCTCCTGGCCACCTCCCTGCTCCTGGAGCATCCCAGAGCTCCAAAGTTGGGTTCCAAGCACTGCAGATCCTTTGCTTCACTAAAAGGCTTGAAAAGAACGTGGCTGAGATCTGTGTGTGCTCCTGGTGCTGGAGCTCGCCTGGAGCCCCAACCAGCCCTGCATGGAACCCCAGAGCTGGGGCCTGCTCCCACCATGGACACCATGTCACCATGGACCCGCTGTCACCACAGACCTGCTGCCACCATGGACCCGCTGCCACCACGGACCTGGTGCCACCATGGACACAGTGCCACCATGGACACAGTGCCACCATGGACACGGTGCCACCACAGACCTGGTGCTACCATGGACACGGTGCCACCACGGACCTGGTGCCACCATGGACACAGTGCCACCATGGACACGGTGCCACACCACTCTGCAGAAAAGGGCACAGGTTCCCTCACCCCCTGCCCACTTTCTGCCTCCCTCCCCTCCACTTCCTAGCCATTCCACCAGCTCCAGGGTCGCTCCAGAGATTCCCACCAGCCCCCAGCACCACTCCCATCCCTTCCCACCAGCCAGAGCCTTCCTGCCAGCATCCCACCCACCTCCAAAGCTGTGTCCATGTCACACCATCCACCCCACCTGGCACCAGCCTAGCCCTCACCTGTGCGCCGGTGTCCGGGGGCTGCAGCCGAGCCTCAGGGTGCTGCTGCCTCTCGCTGAGGCTCCACGGCGAGGAATGAGGGAATATCTGAGCACGGCCCGAGTGCGTCGGCGCTGGCAGGAGCCCGGAATGTCCAGCTGACATTCCAGTGGGGCTGTGCCAAGGAGAACCACGCTGGATGGGACAGGGACACGGCCGCATGTGAGGGCCGGGAACAGAGCGAGAGGTGCCGGCTGTGTTCCGGCTGTCTTGGGAAATCAGCTCTCCTGGAAAACAACGGCGGATTTGTCCAGCTTTGAACGCCCCCTCAGCTCGGCCCCCACCGGGTTTGTCACCTCCCTGCAGAGTGGGCTGGCACCGGGAGAGGGATGGAGATTCCCAGAGCTCCCAAACCAGCTCGGAGAGATGCAGGAGAGGCACAGGGTGGTGACAGCAGCTGGGGGACACCAAATCCCCCTTTGTGGTGAAGAGAAGCTGTGAGCAAAGCAGGGGAAGGCCGAGGTTTGCCCAAAGCTGGGCAGGGGATGAGTGGATCTGGAGCTCCGGCCTTGCCAGTGGGAAAGGAGCCACGTCAGAGCTCGGGAGCTTTGTGGGGAATGGAAAAGTCCCAGGGAGCTTCTGCCAGGGCCACACTGTCCCCTGCAGCCACTCAAGGACAGCGTGTGCCCCCACTATCCTGTCCAGCATGTGCCAATGGTTCCTGCCAGCCCCCTGAACCCCCAAAAAATGGGATCTGTGTGTTTTTTAAGGGAATCATAAGGACCAAGGACAAGGAGGGGACGATGCCCATTCTCACCCCCAGTCCCCCGCAGGAATTGAGCAAAGCGTGCCCAGGCCTGGGCCCCACCAGGGATGCCATGGGGGAAATTCCAGGGAAGAAAACCTCACAATTGGGATAAGGATTGATGGATGTGGAAATTCCCACTAACTGGAGGGGAGAAACCAGGCTCAGGGTGAGCCGAGGGATCAAACTGATGGTGGGGGCAGAGGCTGAGATTAAAGAAAAGGATGAAAGGAAGACCCAGATTCCCAAGGCCTGGCTTCATGCTGGAATCTGAGCTCAGGAAAGCACTTTTTTTATTTGGGTTTTTTTTTGGTTTGTCAGTTTGGTTTTTTTTATAAGGTTGGTTTCTGAAGGAGAAAAAGCTTACCTGAGCACTCTGCACAGCCAGACATGGGGGTTTTGCTTCCCTCCCCTCCTGTCCCCCGAGTCCAGCTGAGTTTCCTCCTCCTCCTCCTTCTTCTTCTGCAGGGCAGGGCAGGGCAGGGCTCCAGAGCAGCTCCTCTCCCTGTACCCAGCAAGTCCCAACAACCCTGCACTTGTTCTGTCCCTCACCCGCTGCAGCCCCCGGCTCCAAAACCCCCCCAGAGAGCAGCCAGGCCAGGCTGCCAACCCCAAACGTGCCAGGCTGTAAATCCAACCATCCCAGAGTTGGTAGGAAGGGGCCAGGCCCATGCTGGGGGTCGCTGGGGCTCAGTGAGAGGCAGGACTGAGCATCCAGGTGGGCACTGGGGAGCCCAGCTGGCAGTGCCCACCTTCCATCCTGGCAGGGTCCACCTTCCATCCTGGCAGTGCCCACCTTCCATCCTGGCAGTGCCCAGCTGGCAGTGCCCCCGTTTCCCCTGGCAGGGCCTGTCCCGTGGGCTGTCTCCCGTGTTCCACAGCCGGGAATGCCGCTTGGAGCCGCGTCCCGGCAGTCGGGCACAGAGAGGATTCCCGGGAGCAGCACAGGTAACCACGGAGCCCCTGCTAATGAGTGGAGCACTCCAAGGAGAGAGAACATTGCCTCGGATTGAAGCTGTGCTAATTAGGAACTAATCAGGGGCCTAGCGATGTTCCCACCTTGGCCACCCCCGCTCCAAAGCTGTCCCAGTGCGCCTCAGGCTGGGGACACTGGCGGTGCTGGGAGCCTTGGAGGAGCCAGGGCTGCCCCAAGTGACCTCAGCACACTGGGACTCATCCCGATATTCCCTGTGCAGGAATCCTCCTCCCTCTCAGGGACATCACTGCGGGCTCCGGTGTCCTCCTGCCCCTCAGGAGCACATTCCAAGGAGCTGCTGCTGTGCCAGGAGCTGGGATGGGGAATGTGGGGGTCACAGAGTCCACACCCCACCCGGGGTGAGATGAGCTCAGAGCCCACGCTTTCCATGACCCACTGGGCTCTCCTTGCTTTGGAGAGGCTGTTCAGACCCCCGTGGGCTTTGCATCAGATCCCACAGACGTGTTCCTACAAAAGCAGGTGCTGCTGGACAGGCCTGGCCTCGTGTGGGAGCCTGGGAGGTGGGGATGGGGCTCCACAAACCCCTCCTGCAACACCTACCATTCCTTAAAGCTGGGTGGAACCCCGATAAATTCCGGATTGATGGGGATGGATGGATGGGGCTGTGCTGGAGGGAGGCAGCTCTGGGCAGGACTCATTCCCTGGCTGGATCTTTCCAGGAGAACTGGCTCTGTGCCCTGACTCCATGCCTGTCAATAAGGTGCAGCATCAGCTGTCGTGTCAGCAGCAGGAAAAACATCCCGTGGGAAGGGCTTTAAATGGAAGCAGGAAAGGAAAAGATAAAGAGTTGGTTTCGTTTCAGAGCCCTCGTTGGGCCGCGTTTGCCTCCCTGACAGGGAGGGGATGCAACGGCTCCATTGGAGAAGTTATTTATAGAAATGTGGTTAATTATAGAAATTTACTTTGCAAGAAAGTGGGAAAGGGCCCTCAGCAGCTCTGGTTGGCAGTGGGGGCTGGGAAGGGAGCACGGTGCGGGGGCAGAACCTGCTTTTCCCAGGAAAACTGCTGGCACTGCCAGAATTCCCAGTCCAGTCTGGCATGGAATGGAATGGGGCTGCTCTGCCCCAGAGAGATGGAACAGGGGACACGGTGGGGGTGACAGTCACAGCCACCATCAGACATCAACACCCCCTGGCACATGGAATGGCTCCAAACAGCACCATTTCCTAACCTGGAATGGATTCCAGCTGTAACTTAGCAACCTCACCTGGGTAAAAGCATCCCACAAGGAATGTGGGGCCTGAGGAGAATCAGCCTTGCACTGATTCGCTCCCCTTTGTTCCCAAACCTCAGCAACAGCTGCAGCCAGAGAGGAGGCAGCTCCTGCTGGCCACAGAGCCACTCCCTTCCCGTGCCACTGGAAACCCCCTTTGCCACCCAGAGCCACGGGATGAGATGAATTCATCGTGAGTCACCCCTTTCCACAGAAGTCACACAAGTGGGGAACCGCTCCTGCCACACCCCACAACTTGGGAGAAGCTGGAACTCGACCTGATCCAAGCAAGAGCACTTGGGACAGCCTGTGATGTCTGAGCACAAATAAAAGTACTAAATTATTTGTAATAAATTTATTTTTGATATTGATTTCTTACAGAGCTAAATGGAACATAGAAACAGCACCAAGCCATTGAAGTCTGTTCTACAAAACCAGGTTTAATACAAAAGGATGACAGCAATGCCTGACTCTGCACTTCTGGACGGTTAAAAAAGCTCACCCAAACCCCACCAAGAGTTTAAAAAGGTTTAAGAACAGAGGCACCGGTGTTTTGAGAGAATTTCTCTGGCAGCAGTGATGATCTTGATACACTTTGGAAGAATCAAGGTTGCCTTTATTCCCTATTTATTACAGTGCAAGGGGCTGGTCCTTGCCTCAAAGAGCTGTTGAGTCTCCTGCCCAAACACCCACACCCAAAAGTTTGGGGCCAGAGCCACTTTCATGCAGGATATTCCCCATTTAATGGGAAAGATCTCCTGGTTTTGCTCCTGGAGAGCTCTGCTCCAGCCATACGGAGTCTCCGTGGCCCCAGCAGCACGAGGGGTGCCAGTGGAACGCCCCACGTGGGGAGAGCTGCAGACTCTGCCAGGCACAAGGAGCACACCTGGAGTGGCATCACCTGCCCAGGGCTGTGCCCTCAGCCAGCCCAGAGCCTGGGGCAGGAGCAATCTGAGCATCCAGCCCCAGGATGTCCTCAAGGAGAGCAACATCCAGGGGCTACAGGGCTCAAATCACTGCTGGCTTCGCTCTGCAACTTCTGCCCGAGGCCAGCAAAGGATCTGAGTCCTGCAGCCTCAGGAGCTGCTGCAGAGCCCTGGGAAGAGCAGAGCAGCAGCTCCTCTGCCGAGCCTGAACTGCCACACACTGGTGTCATTTCCTGGGAAACAAACGTTCCTTCACTGGACAGAAACAGAAGCTGAAGTGATTACAGACACGAGATACGATGCAGCAGGGCTGGGACAGAGCCAGGCTAATCCTGGGACCCGCAGGGGGCTGCAGGAACAGCGACAGTCCCCGAGCTGGCACATCCCTGCTCCGACACGAACACAGACACTGCAGCTGCCCAGCTCAAACATGAACACTGAGCCCTCAGAGCCCTCCCAAAGCTGCTCTGTAACAACCACTGGGCAGTCCTGGGCTGCAGCCACAGGAAAGCGCCTTTAAAAGCTTCCTATATCCTTTATTTCCCACCCAAATCCCCCCCCAAGCCCCCTAAAAATAATAAAAGCACACAGACTGCAGACTTAAAAGTATAACAGGGTCACAAACTCTCCTCCACCACCCCCAGCCCAGCCCAAACCACCAAGGCACGTCAGGCTCCCCCCTCTCTCCAGGCCCACCTTCCCCCTTCTCCCCCAATTTTGGATGGATGAAGCCAACACAAAACATTCTCCTTGCTGGGAAGCAGCAAGTGCTTCCTTGCTGTCTTTGCACTGATAAAAACAAACGCAAACAAAGACACGCCTGCACTGCCACCCAAATGTTTCCATGGGAAATGGTATCTTTCAGCACATTCCTTGATGGACTCTGCCACCAGTTGGCCTTTGCAGAACTGAGGTCAGATTTTGCACCCCCAGGCTCTGGCAGAGCCCCCCAGCCCTCGAGAGGGCTGTGCAGTTATTCTTTGTATCCTTTGTGTATTCTTTGCTTGCCACGGGAGCCAGGTCTCTGTGGAAGGCTCACTTTGGTGCAATTCCAGCTTCCCACCAGCTCAAGCCCTTCTTCTTTCCAAGCCGATATTGCCCTGAACGTGTGTGTTTGGAGAGTTTCAGCAGTGAGAGCAAACAGAGCCGTGTAACCCCCAACCCTGGGGCCAGGCCCTGCTCCTCCCCCAGCAGCGAGGGGCCTGAGCCCTGCACAGGGTCCATGTCCCCACCCAGATCCACGGCTGCTCCTCCTGCTGCCTCAGTGCTCCGAGTCCGACAGGTACGAGGGCTGAGTCCATCTCCACACCAGCATGTCCTCCCCTGCCACCCTGTGGGATTCTGTCTGGATCCGGGACTCGTTGGAGGCCAGGAAATCCACGGCTCTCTCCCACACCCGCTTCATCTTTTTTCTGTGAGGAACAGCAAGAAAATAAATGAGAATCCCAAGCTGGTTGTGCTTCCCTGCCTACAGCAACTGTGCCTGTGGATCTGGCTGCCTCCTGTTCCCTGTGCAGGCAGAAAGGGGCATCAAACAAACCCTGGGTTAGAGATTTCACACCAGGGCACAGCCACACAAATCCTGCCTGGGGGGAAGATGAGAGGTTCTGTCAGTGCCCTGAATTTCTGCCTCAATTTGTGCTGCAAAAGGACTCGATGAGCAAATCGCCCTCCCCTGTCCTGCACAGAGAGATCTCAGCCAGGGGGGTGAGATGTTCACCTTCATGTTCACCCCAAGCTTTGGATCCAGCAGTTCTGAGCATCTCACACCCAGGGATGGCTCAAACAGCTGCAGTCATCCCTTGTAGGAAAAGGAATCCTGTGTCTGACACAGAGGGAGGATGTTTCACAGGAGGACAAAGCAGCTCCATCTAACCAAAACACAAGAAATAATCCTGCAAAGCAGCAGGATCCATCCTTGCAGCCCTTCAGCCCCACCACCCACAGAGCAATGACCTCGACCATAAGTCCTGTCTGAGAAAGCCCCAAGCCCGAGAAAGCACAAACCCAACCTGAGAAAGCCCCAAACCCAACCCATGAAAGCTCCAAACACAACCTCAAACAACCAAACAAAACCCAAACCAAATCATCTCACTCCAGCTCCTATCCCAGCCATACAACTCAAACTGGCCCCTTTCCAGGCCCACAATCACTGCAGAAGAGCCCCTCTTGGGAATTGCTCTGGTCTGGAGAGCCAAGTAGGATGGCTGGGAAAGGGGACAGCACCAGACACCGAGCAGATGAAGCAGAGGACACCTGATGCTGCAGGTCCAAGCAAACCAGACCCAGGTACTGCTGGACAGAACAAGGACAACTACCCGTGGCACTGCACCAAGTACCAGCCCCAGGACTGGCACACTGATCTGCACCAGGTGCAGGCATAGCCTGAGCTGTGTCCAAGCCTTTCCCAGCCCAAAGGCTCCAGCCTCGTCCTGCAGAGCAGCTCCAGGGATGCATTTTGGAGCTGTCCCGAATCCCATCCTGCTGCTTCCAGCCCTCCTCAGTGCCCAGAGCCAGCTCACCTGCTCTGAGGAGGGATCAGGCTGTCCCGGACGTGGAAGATGCCAACGTAGGGGTAACGCTCCAAATTCCGCTCCCATTCCTTGTAGTGGTCCTGGACAACAGCTGGAGGACAGGAGGACACAGCAGTGAGGGCTCAACCCTGCAGGGAGCAGAGCAGGGCTCCCTGTGCTCCCACAGCTCCTACCTATGATCTTCTTCACCATTTCATACATGGCTTGTTCCTCCTCCTCCATCTTCCGCCAGCGATACCGGAGGTAGAGCAGGATCCCCCAAAGGGTTATCAGACCTAGGAGAATAAAAACAAAGGGAATGCAGGAACTGACAGCTGTGTCCTTGCTGGATGCAGTTTTAGTTCTGACACTGTGACCAAGGCCTGCTTGGAACTGACTCCCAGTGATTACTTTTGTTTCCCAGAGCAGCTGTACCCCAAAAGCCCTCAGAGCAGCCCCCCCTGCAGCACAGGGCACCTGTGGACGTGGGATGAGGTGGTGGGAAAGCCTCAGCACAGAGCAGCCCTCACAAAAGAAACCCCAGCACAACAACAGGACCCCAGTTCTGCAAATCCCAGAGGAGGCTTTGCCAGAGAGGCCTCCCCAACAAGAATCACTCTGGAAAACTGTCAGGTTTCACTGCTCCATGGAGAGCTGCTGGATAGGGAAGTAAAGCCTGGGGCTCCAGTGGCAGCCCAAAATGCAGGAGATGTGTATGAAAGGTTTAGGACTGACAATGCCCCCAGTGTCTGCAATAAACAAAACTGTCCCTTGTCACCCCCTCCCTGTCAGGCTGGATTAGAAACTCCTGTAGTCACACGGCTCTCGTTATCACCTCGCTGGGTAAAACCCCTGTCTCAGCTGAGGCGTGACAGACTATTCCAATAAAACCTCCAACCCTGAAATGCTACAAGTCATTATTAAAGAGGCTGGAGGACCTGAGAGCTTAGAGCAAGAAAAAAAGAAAAACTGACTCCTTAAGGTAAGTTAACACACTTACTCTGCAGCCCATAATAATGGGCACTTGAGGAATACCCAGAGAGCTCATCAGCTGCCTGATTTAAAGCAACTTTTAAGCACTCGCAGCACAAGAGGAGGGCTGTGGGTATCCTGTGCTGCCAGAACAAAGGTTAATTAGACATTAACTCATCAGCAGATTTATTTCACCTCTGCTAGGCATTTCCTATGGCTGAGGAATGTGTGATCACAGGGCTTCATCCCTGCAGCTGAGCCCCAAGAGCCACTTACTCCAGAAGAAGAGGAAGAGGTTCCTGATGGCCGTGACCACAGCCCGGCGGAAGCGGCAGCCCAGCCCCATCTGGGGGTGGGCAGATTCCAGGCAGAACACTTCCTCCACGCTGGAAACCGGCTCTGACAGGTCCCTGCCTTTCAACCTGATGGGAAGAGGCAGAAAATCTCAGTGAACAGAGCAGGCTGTAACTGCAGTCTTTAATCAAGGGCGGGAGAACAACCAGACTGCGGATGCAGCAGCTAGCAGGAAATGCCCCCACACCCAGGCAGAGCCTCCTGCCAGAACATTTGGGGACTGGCTGATTGGCCAGGAATGGATGTGGCTTCAGGAAGGCAGCGGGGCTGCAGCTCCCACTGGCACACTGAGTGTCCCTGCACTGCCTCTCTGACAGCTCAGAGCTGCCCCTCTCAGCGTGCACAAGATTAAAGTTGGAATTGGATTCCCACCTCCCAGCATGGAGATGGAAACGTTCCTTGAGTCAGAGTCACTGCTCAGCCCTGGCAGTGGGAGCTGGGGGACCCAGGCTGGGAGCAGGAGCAGCTCCAAGAGTGACAGAGCACCAGCACAGAGCCCTGCAGAGCCTCAGCCTCCCCTGCAGCACTGCTGCTCCCAAGCCCAGGCTCACTCCATACTGAGCCATTTCCAGAGAGAACTCACAGGCACCAAGGGGTCCAAGGGACAGCCTGCAGATCCAGGGGAGCTGGACCAAAGGAGATTGTGTTTTTTAAGCTCCTAATTATGAACAGACCATTAGACAAAGAGGTTTGCTCAATTTACAGGTGCTCAGCTCACAAACTGCAGCGAGCTCGGCCTGGTTCTGGGTTCTGCAGGAGCTGCATACACATGGTTGTGTCCCACCCCCCATCTTATTTACAACCCAAATTCCATGGAAATATTTAAAACATGCAATAGAATCACCCAGTGCAAAGCTCATTTCCAGTCCTGCCTCTCAGACTAACAACTGAAAAATAATCTCATGTAGCTAGAAATGCCAGGGGCAGGGTTCTGGGGATGCTGCCACACTGGCTCTGGGGAAGCGAAGCTGTTTGGGGACCAGCCAGCAGAGCTGCTAATTAACAAAATAAAAAGTGGGAGGATATTGTATCCCATGGCTTCTGACTGGAAATGTGCTGGAGTATAAAAATACAAAATTTGAAAACTGTGCATCCCAGCCCACCTACAAATCCAGCCCTGCCCCTAAGGAAGCCATGCCCCATCCTGGGAATTTGCACACCCCAGGAATCAAAGCAGCAGATGCTGTCTGATCCGTGGATCACAGCACCAGCTGCAGGAATATTTAAGAGCAAATGGAGCAGTGGGAATTCCAACAAGCCTTGCCCACCAACCCCAGCACCACGACTGCTGCAATTCACTTAATCAGAGACACATTTAGCAACGTGAAAATGCAAACAACTGTTAAGGCTTTAGAGTTAGAGCAGACTGGAGGCAGCCCACGCTTCCCAGAGGAAGGTGATGATGGCTGCTGACTCTGGATAACATTCTTTCTGTAGGTTATGGATAGGATATTGTGTTTTTTTTCCCTGAAAACTGAGTATTGCTGTTCTTTCTGATGGATGGAGCCTGTTGGCTGAGAAATGCCCCCTCAGTAACCCCCCAGCACCCACAGTCAGTCAGGCCATCCTTTCAGGAGGAATTTCACCATGGAAAGGGTGGTTAGGCACTGACAGGGGCTGCCCAGGGATGGGGTGGAATTCCCATCTCTGGAATGTTCACTTGGATGTGACACTCAGTGCTCTGGTGGGGTTGACCAGGCGGGGATCAGTCACAGGCTGGTGATCCCAGAAGGATTTTCCAGCCTCAGTTATTCTGAGATTCTGGCAGGTGCTCTGCCAGAGACACAACTGACACTGAAGGTATCATTCAACATCCCTTTCCCTCTCCTGCTCCTCAGGACTTGCTCCAGAGGATCCCAAAGCGTGGGTGACACCACCCACTACACAGAGAGCTTTGCTGGCCAAAGAACCCTCTAGTCCAAGGATGCAGCTCCACAAATGCAATAGATGTTCTGGAGAGAGCTTATTCTAGGAAAAGTGGGCAAATTAAGGAAGAGCTGTAGGCACAGGACAGTGGGCAGGACACCAGGACCACTCCACAGGAGGCACAACACTACCACTGATGGCCACAAGCAGCCCTGGCCTCCAACTTCCATCTCACCTGCAACACATCCCTGGACACAGTGTCCCACAGCCTGGGCTGGGAACTGTCTCCTGGAGGGAGCTCAGCTCCCATCCTGCTGCAGGGCTGTATTTTCCTTTGGAAGTTTGCCCAGCAAGCTCTGCCACAGCCAATCCCAGCCTATCTGCTAAAGCCTAACGAGCTCTGGGAGCTGAAGGGCACCACTGACCCTGTCAAATTCCACCCCAGCCAACACCCAGATCCCCAACTTTGACACAGTGGGCTCCTACCCACCCAGTTCCCAGATCCCTGCTGCTGCTCAGTATCAGCAGATCCGTAACTTTGACACACAGGGTTTCTGCTCACCAAGTTCCCAAATCCCTCTTGCTGCTCAGTATCAGCAGATCCCTAACTTTGACACAGAGGGTTTCTGCTCACCAAATTCCCAAATCCTTGTTGCTGTTCAGTATCCAGTGCAGGGCAGCTTCAAACTTCTGTGAGGAACTGCCAGTTACATTCTGTGCAAAGGAAGCCGTAAGAAGATTAGTCCTCCATTCATTTAAAATACTGACCAACATGATTTCATTACAGCAGTGGGAGAATTCATTCCACAGTGGCTGTCCCCTGGTGAATTCTTATCGGGATTCTGCAAACTGGAGGGAGGAGAACTAAGCCTGAAGGTCTGCCTGGCCTAAAGTCTTCTGACTGGGGAGATGATGCATGAAGCACTCTGTGAAATAACACCATCCCAGACTGTTAGGGCTAACCACTAAATACAACATAATCTTACTGACAGGTTACCAGGAAAGAAATGGAATGCTGGATCAGAGCAGTCTGTCTCCTGACACTCTGCAGTAGAGAAAAATCCTTTTTCTGCCCAGCCCTCAATCCAGGGAAATTTCTGGTTTCACAAGACTGATGGCTCCAGTGAAAAAACAAACCATTAAGATTTACAGGGGGGTGAATCACAGATGGAGGAGAAAATGATTTTCAAAAGAACTGCTGAGAACAGGACTGGCCAAAGGGGAAGTGAGAGATATAGGAGAGAATCAAAGCAGGATGAGGAAGCAAAATAGATGGTGAATTGTTTTAGTGTCTATTATTTATTGCTTTATAAGAGACTAAGCACTGGGTTATAACAAAGCTGCTCAGAGCCCACTCACCAGCACGTGATCCTTCACCTCACTAACCCAAATGCATTTGCTTTTTAAGTTCTCAGGGTTTCCACATTCAAAATTACCTGGTAAAAGAAAAGTCAAATAGAAAAATCATGTTTGTAAAAAAGCCCTTGAACAGCTTAGAACCAGGCTCTGAACGTACACCAAGAAATGCTCGCCTTTCCAATCCACCCCAGCCCTGAGCAAAATGATTCCAGGGTGAGATTTATATTGCAGGCAGATCAGATTATGACTATTAATAAAATCTCAGCCACTGCACGGAGGTTGGATAAGGGCAATCAAACCTCTCACTTCAGAGCTGCCGCTGGATAAGGGCAATCAAAGCTGACACTTCAGAGCTGCTGAACACACAATGAGGGGGGAAAGTATTGCTCCTTCCCCTTGCAGAGCACAGAACCACAGCTGCCACCAGGTATCAGGTGTGGAGCTAATGATCAGTGTTTAAAATGCCTCCAAGGAGCTGAAATCACAGCTCTGCCTCTAACCCAGGCAGAGAAATGCTGGCAAGGCACTAAATCCTCTAAATCTTGCCTCACCAAGTTGACTAAACAAATGTGCTAAGTAAATCTGGTGGAAATCTGAAGTCAGATTTGAAAAGATTTAGGAATTCTGTGCGGCTTCAGTATCCAAAGGCTTCAGCCTTGAGGTCTGAAATGCAGAAAATGGAACTGAAACCCTTTTACTGACTACCACTGCTGTGAATCTTGCTGAACAGGTCCCTGCTCATGCAGTGGATTTCTAGCAGCCTACTCCATCCCAAAATACTGGTGATGGGCTGGATTTACCCCTGCAGTAGGGACTGTGCTGGGTCAGCTCCTTATGTCAGTGAGCCTGTCCCACTCTGGTGAGGAAAAGGAGAGGCACTCACACATCTGCCACCACATTTCAGCAGAAATGACAATTTCTTAGGTCACTTCATGTGTAAGAACATATCAGTTTACACTCGTGGTTCTATCTTGAAGACAATTTCAAGCTGTTGTTAGAAAAGAATAACAAAGCCAACCAATCCTACCTGAAAATCCCAACACTTCAAGCACAAACAAGGCCCACTCACGCAGGCAGGGTGACAGGAGCGCATTAGCCAAGCAACACTCAGAATAAAAATAAATCCACCTTTCTCTGCCTGCCTCAGAACTCCTCAAAGGGAACTGCCGGTTCCATGAACCCCTCCAGAGTGGGACAGAAGCGAGCTGGAGCTGGGAGAGGCAGCTCCTGCAGGCTCAGCAGGGGTGGGGATGCGCTGGCACTCACCTGCCTGCACGGACAGGTAATTGTAGAGCTCGTGCAGCACGGCCATGGTCACATCCTTGTGCTTGGCCTGACAGAACTGCAGGGCACAGACAGGGACACACATCAACAGTGGAATGGGGACAGCAGGAGTGCAGCTCCAAACACCAGACAGACTTATAGCACTGAGTCTGGCTCAGTCCTGCACCACCAGCTCCAAACAGATCTCCTGAATGAGGAACATTCCAGGCACAAGTGACCCCGAGCATCTCCTGGAAGTCCCTGCCCAGAGGAATCAGGTGAGTTTTAAGGTCCCTTCCAGCCCAAACCAGTCTGGGATTCTGGGATTCTATAAAGTTCCACCAACCCTCAGCCCAGCCTGCAGCACCAGCCTCGGACCCACCACAGATGGAAGCATCACCTCCAAAACTTTCCAGCACACCAGAACTCAGAATCCAACACAAAACCTTCTTCCTCCTAATCATGGAATATTTGATTTGAAAGGGACCTTTAAAGCTCACCCAGTTCCACCCCTGACATCTTCCACTATCCCAGATTTCTCCAAACTCTGTCCAACCTGGCCTTGGGCACTTCCAGGGATGGGGCAGCCACAGCTTCTCTGGGAATTCCATCCCAGCCCCTCCTCACCCGGAAGGATTTATTCCCAATATCCCATCCAAACCAGCACATGGAATCCTGGAATGGTTTGGGTTGGAAGGGATCAACCCATCCCATGGGCACTTTCCACTATCCCAGGCTGCCATTTTATCCATTATCCAACCCAGCCTCAGGCACTTCCAGGGATGGGGCAGCCCCAGCTTTTCCAAAAATCCATCCAGAGGGAGCAGGGCTGTGCAGGCACTCCACAGGGAATTAGCTGGATTAAATCTTGTACTGCTAAAGCTGAAAACAGCTTTATTGCAAACCAATACCACTGCTGGTACAACTGTTAAAAAGAAATTGATTCACATAATTGGGAATTTAAATTTTTATCTTTCAGAGTCTCATACACACTCCTAACTTAATCTGGCCCATTAATTCCAACTCATCAAGTCTCAATTTTTCTGTAAAACGATAGAACTAATCATTCTACAGGGATACTGTTATGGGTGGAATAGAATACCTGGAATAATCACTGTTCTGTGAGAGCTCACAAGAGTGAGGATAAATAAATAAATGCTTACCTCATCCGTGCTTTTGTCACAATCCACAGGCAAGAGATTAACTAGGAGAGAGAAGAGGGTGAGTTAGGTGGCTGCAAATTAAGAGCTTTGATCAAGAAAATAATTATCTTTTTAAAAGCAGGCTCAACTTAAAGCCAGGTTCTGCTATTGTTCATCTCCCCCTGGCAGCACCTGGAGGTGCAAACAGCCCCTTCAGGAGCTGCTTTGGGAGCAGCCCTGAGGAAAAACACTGCAAGGATGGAGCTGATAAATCAGTTGGGGAGTGAAAACTGGGGCTGGATGTTTCAACAGTTCCTGTTTGAGGAGAAGCTTCATGCTGATCTTCACACTCCAGTACTGCCTCTTACTCCCCACCAGGGTCACCTGAAATATCCCAGCACAGCCAAGGAGGGAAATGAACCCTCCTGGAGGGCTGACTGCAGCTCTGGGCTCTGCAGGGCCTGAGCAGCTCCTGGCACCTGCAGCATGTCCAGCACCCTGCACTGCCCCAGGGCTGGCACAATTCGAACCTGGGCAATGTTCCTGCCTCCAGAACTCCTCTGTCAGCTGAAAAAGGACAATCCAGTGACAATGAGCAATTTTATCCTGGCTTTGGGAATGCAGCAGCTTTCCCAGGCCACACCAAGGGCACGGTGTGCCCAGGCTCAGAACCAGAACCTTCCCAGAACAGCCTCCAAACCCTTCATTGTTCAGCTCAAAGCCTGAAATATCCCCCATTTCCAACTGTTCCAGCTGGGGAACTCAGCTTTAAAAAACAGCTGATGGGGAAACCCCTTTCCATATCTCACGGAAGAGAGAGATACACTGCCATGCCTGAAGTGCTGAATTGATCTGCTGCACTTCCCCCTTGGACAGAATAAAGGCTGGGAAGGGCTGTGCTGGCAGAGGAACATCAAAAACATACTCCAGGTACTACACAGACATCATGACACACCATAAAATCCATCCTTGGCCCAGCAGACATCCATAAAATCCATCCTTGGCCCAGCAGGAATGGCACTCCACATAAACCCCATGATTCTGAAGGACTGAAGGCCAAACTCGTTTGGAAAAAGCAAACTTTTGATTTGCTTCCCATGACTAACAAGGTTTCCCATTGGAAAGGGGAGATGGGAAGAGGGACAGAAACAGACATGTCAGGTTATGGCAGTGAGGATGATAAATGTGATGGGAATTGAAGCAATAAAGGGAAAGCAGGAAGATGGGTGAGGAATAAAGTTTAAATGAGAATTAAACCAGTGCACGTACAGCTCTCCTCGCTCCCGTCCAGCCAGCCTGACCCAACCATCTTCACCACGAGGATGCCCAGAAAAATCAGGAGCAGCACCAAGGTGGCGAGGCAGAGGAACTGGGACAGGTAATACTCCAGGCCCTTCCCCTTCCCCTCCGGCTGCTGCCTCGGCGCTGAGCGCAGGAGGGCCGTGCGTGGGGTCACTCCATGCCCCCCATCGCCAACTGCCCGCCACGGGAAGCGCCGGATCAGCCCCCCAGCCCGGCTGCCCGCATCCCGCTCTGCCTCCTTCCCAACGCTGGAAGCCAGGTCCTCCTTCCCTCTCCTGAACAGGCTGCTGAACCTCCCGGGGGCCGCTGAGGAGCCCCACTGGGTGCTGGGGGTCACTTCGCTCTCCCGTCTCCACCACATGTTGGAGGAGAGCCCCCTCCTCTCCCCCGCCGTGTCCCAGGCAGCCCGGGAGCTCTGTGCCCCAATTCCCCCTCCTGATGTCCCCCAGTGGCTCCTGGACTCCTCCTCGCTGGGAAGGGGTTTGGAGCCTGCTGAGGAGGCCCAGTAGGGCGTGGAGCTCAGCCCCCCAACACCATCCAACCCTGAGCCAGCCCGGCTGCTGAGCCCCCCGCTCCTCTCTGCTGAGGGGCTCCACTGGGATGCGGAGTTTGACCCCCGAAACCTGTCCAGGGTCGGTCTCAGGCCACTGCTGAGTCCCCCACTCCTCTCTGAGGCGCCCCACTGCAGCGAGGAGCCCCGAAACCCATCAAGGGTCGCCCCCAGCCCCTGGCTGAGCCCCCGGCCGTGCTCTGCAACATCTCTGGATGTCTCCCAATGGGACGCAGAGCTCAGCTCCCCGGCCCTGTCCAGCCCAAGGCCCCCGCTCCTCTCTATGGACGTGTCCCACTGCGAGGGGGAACTCAACCCCCCGTGCCCAGCCAGGGATGTCCCCAGCCCACCGCCACCTCTCTCCACAGTCGTCCCCCACTGCTCTGAAGGGCTCAGCCTCCCGAGGCTGTCCCGGGACCGGCTCCCCTCAGCCCTGACGCCTCCGCCCCGGCCCGGCGGGGA